CCCACCAATGGCATTCAAGTTTTCCCTTTTCTCCACATCCTCGCCAACACTTCTTATCTTTTGTATTTTTGATGATAGCCATTCTAGCAGGTATGAAGTAATACTGCATCTCATTGTGGTTGTAATTTTCATTTTCCTAATGATTTATGTTAAGCATTTTCCATAAACCTGTTGGCTATTTTTAGTCTTCTTTTGGGAAATGTCTACTCAAGTCCTTTGTCCATTTTTAAATTAAGTATTGCATTCTTGCTATTGAATTGTTTGAGTTCCTTATATATTTTGACACTAGCCCCTTATCAGATATGTGGTTTGTAATATTTTCTCCCATTTCATATGTTGACTCTTCACTCTGTTAATTGTTTCTTTTGATGTGCAGAAACTTTTAATTTAATGCAATCTTATTTGTCTATTTTTGCTTTTGTTGACAGTTTTAGGGATCATATTCAAAATAATTATTGCCTAGACCAATGTCATGAAGACTTTTCCCTTCTTCAACTCTTTTTTACAATTTCAAGTGTTACATTTAAGTCTTTGATTCTGAGTTGATTTTTTTAAACATGTTGTTAGGTAAGGATCCAGTTTTATTCTTTTACATGTGAATATTCAGTTGTCCCAACACTATTTGTTGAAGACACTGCCCTTCCTTTCCTCATTGTTTTCTTGGTATCTTTATCTAAAATAAATTTGCTAAAAAAGTATGGGTTTATTTCTTTGCTCTCTATCCTGTTTCATTGGTTGATGTGTCTTTTTTTTTTTTAAGTGCCATGTTGTCTTGATTATTATAGCTTCGTTAAAGTCTGACCAGATTCTTATGCCTACTGCCCAGAAAGACTGACACAGCCATTACAGTACAGAAAAGGTTTAATATTGCAACGCAGCTAAGTAAGGGAAATGGAAAATATTTCTCAAACCCACCTCCCTGAGAATTCAGAGGCAAGGGTTTTTGGAAGGAATTTGGTAGGCAGAGGGATAGGGACTTCTGACTAGTTAATAGTATCACAGAGGATGTCAAAATTATTTTAATCACAGAGCCAATTTCTGGGAGGGGTTGTTGTACTGGTGGAACCAGCTTCCTGGTATGTGTTCTAGGCCCAGGTGGGGCATTTGGTCCATCAGAGTACAAAGTCTGAAAAGAGATGAGATGGACAGTGAGCCATTTATAGAGATAGTTTAGGAGGAAGGTATGTGGAAATTGGGGTCTCTGACGATTGGAACTATTTTGTCCTTCAACTTCCCCTTTTGTTCTCAAAGAGCTCTATATAGCCTTAAGCCCATTGTTAGAGGGAAAATATGTTCAGCAGCTTTGCAGTGTAGCTTTCCCCCTCCCTAGGTGTCAGGACACGAAGTTCATCAATTGCAGTGAAAGCAAACTCAGAAATAACAGATTCTTTGGGAGGCCAAGGTAAGGGAATTGCCTGAGCCCACGGGTTCGAGAACAGCCTGGGCAACTTGGCGAGACCTCATCTCTACAATAAATCAAAAAATTAGCTGGGCATGGTAACACATGCCTGTAGTTCTGGCTACTTGGAAGGCTTAGGTGGAAGGATCACCTAGCCCAGCAAGTCAATGCTGGGGTGGCCATGAGCATGCCACTGTACTCTAGCCTGGGCGGCAGAGTAAGACTCCAACTCAAAAAAAAAAAAGAAAGAAAGAACAGATTCATTAAATTCTAATCATAACTGCAGCTTTTCAGGGCTTGGGTTTCTTCTACAGCTTTTATTCCGTGGTTCAATATTAATTTCATATAGGTGGTTTCAGTTTTATAGCATATTGTGAAATCAGGTAATGTGATGCCTTCAGCTTTGTTTTTTATTTTGTTTTGCTTTGTTTTGTTTACTCAAGACTGCTTTGACTATTTGGGGTCTTTTGGGTTCAATAGGGAAAATGATGTTGGAATTTTGATAGGGATTGCATTGAATCTGTAGATCACTAGATGTGTGGGCATCTTAACAATATTAATTCTTACACCCCATGAGCACTTCTTAAATTTATTTCATCAATATTTTATAGTTTTCCATATTCAGATGTTTCACCTTCGAGTTAAATGTACTATTAAGTATTTTTTAATGCAATTTTTTCTCGCTTTTTCAGGTACTTTGTTGTTAGCTTTGTTAGCTTATAGAATGTGACTAATTTTTGTGTAAAGATTTTGTATCCTGCAACTTTACTTAATTCATTTACCAGTTCTAACAGTTTTTTTGGTGGTATCTTTTTTTTTTTGAGTTGGAGTCTCACTCTGTCACCCAGACTGGAGTGCAGTGGCCGCTCCCGGCCACCTCAGCCTCGACCTGCTGGGCTCTGGTGATCCTTCCACCTCAGCCTTCCAAGTAGCTGGAACTACAGGCGTGTGCTACCACACTCGGCTAGTTTTTGATTTATTGTAGAGATGAGGTCTCGCCAAGTTGCCCAGGCAGGTCTCGAACCCGCGGGTTCAGGCAATCCACTCACCTCAGCCTCCCAAAGCGCGGGATTACAGGCTGAGCCACTGAGCCCGACTGGTGGCATCTTTAAGGTCCTCTCTCTATAAGATCATGTCATCAACAAAAAGAGCGTTTCACTTCTTTTACTATTTGAGTGCCTTTTATTTATTTTCTTGTCTAACTGCTCTGACTAGGACTTCCAATATTATACTGAAAAGAAGTAGCAAGAGTGGGCATCCCCATCGTGTTCCTGATTGTAGAGGAAAAGCTTTCAACTTTTTGCCATTGATATTAGTTGTGGGCTCTCCTGTTGGGCCCAGGTGATCCTTCCACCTCTGCCTTACAGGTAACTGGAACCACAGGCAAGCACCACCACAACCAGCTAATTTTTTATTTATTGTAGAGATGAAGTCTCACCAAGTTGTCCAGGTTGGTCTTGAACCCTTGGACTCAGGCAATCTTCTTGATTCCTCCTCCCAAAGTGCTGGGATTACAGGTGTAGCCACTGCACCTGACGTCTCCTATATGCTCCTTTATTGTGTTGAAGTACATTGCTTCTGTATCTAATTTGTTGGGATTTTTTTTATCAAAAGGTATTGAATTTTGTCAAATGTTTCTTCTGCGTGCATTGAGATAATCATATAGTTCTATACTGGCCTCATGAAATAAGTTTGGAAATATTTCCTCCACTTCAATTTTTTAGAATTTTAAAAGCATTAGTAATAGTTCCTCTTTAAATGATTGGTAGAATTCAGCGTAAAACCATTCAGTTCTAGGTTTTTCTTTGGTGGGAGACACTATTATTGATTCAATTTCTGTACTTATTGTTGGTCTACTCAGATTTTCTATTTAAGAGAAAATAGTTACTTTTCCAAGGTATTAGCAACTAGATTCATTCCATTAAATGAGAATTTCTTACATTTACCTTAAATATAACTAAATTTATTCTATCAGGGTTTTTTTACACAACATGAAGTGCAACTGTAAATTATTTTCCTTCTGGAAAAATGTACCTAAAACATACAAATAAAGTTTTCCATAATGTTGGTTTTGTTGCCTTAGAAATAGATGTCCTGCTTATCAAAAAGAAAGAACTCTGCCGTTTTTTTCTCTTCCTAAAGAAAAAAGAAAGAAAGAAATCTAAATTATGCAAATAAAAACTACAAAAATTAAAAGCTAGTTTAAATTCTGTTAAAATATTGGAGCGGCCTACTATCATTTGAATTGAATAAGAAGATGGAATTGTAGAAATGCTCATATCAAACTTACTATTAATCTCATATATCCTACTATTTCATATGTATATATACTTGGATATCTCATAAATGCCTTAACCTTAACATAGCCAAAACATAATTCTTGATGTCTCTTCCAAATATCCTTCCTCCAATGTTCAAATCTAGCCTTTTTTCAAATCTATCCTTCCTCCAGTTATTCAAGCCTGAGACTTAGGAGTCAGCCTTGAATTTCCCTGTTTTCTCACCAGTCCACGTCTAATGATCCGTCCATGTGATTCCTCCCAACTCGTGTGTACCATTTTCCCATGGTCCACATTCAATCTTCAACTAGAGAGTCTGTTCTATCTTCACATATATATTGACTTCCTCTACTTCTCTTTTTCCAATATCACTTTTAGTCCAGGTCGCCATCATATACATCTTACATTAATGGTTTTGGAAAATAATCCTATTACAATTAAATTAGGCCTTAAGGCTGGGCTGGGTAGCTCAGCCTGTAATCCCGCGCTTTGGGAGGCCGAGGTGAGTGGATTGCCTGAGCCCGCAGCTTGAGACCCGCCTGGGCAACTTGGCGAGACCTCATCTCTACAATAAATCAAAAAATTAGCCGGGTGTGGTAGCGCGCACCTGTAGTTCCGGCTACTTGGAAGGCTGAGGTGGAAGGATCACCAGAGTCCAGCAGGTCGAGGCTGCGGTGGCCGGGAGTGTGCCACTACACCTCAATCTGGGTGACAGAGTGAGACTCCAACTCAAAATAAATAAATAAACAAATAAATAAGGCCTTAAAATTCAAAGAAATTATTTTGAAACATTTAATACAATAAGACTTATTCTTTAAATATCATGAATAATGGAGTCTGAAAAATAAGTTTTGCTGTATGCTCAATATTTAAACTGAATTGAGTTTTAACATAGGGAAAGACAACTGTTTTCAATTAAACATAAGAAAGCAAACACCTAGAAACAAAATCAAAATAAAGGTGAATGGGTCTTTTGCTGGGTAATCCATAAGGTAAAATGTATTTTATAAAGGGACAAAGGAGGTAATAGCTTACTATTCAGAGAAAATACCCAATAGTCTGGCATCCTAGGAATTTGCCCAATTTGTTTTTGTTTTGTTTTGAAGCAAGCCCATATTTTGTTGTGTTGGTATCAATTCTAATGGCAAGGCTGGTTTTATCTGTAAAATTTCAAACCAAAAAAAATTGTTTTCTTGTAGGAGATAGAAGTGAAATAAATTGCATGCTGTTACTTTCTCTCAATATATCTCTCTTTCTTAATTTTGGTAATACAGCTATTATAGTAAATAATACTGAAACCTTAATACATTTTGTTCCAATAGCTTTAAACAGAATATCAGCATCTTGATTTCTGAAACTCATAAGACAGCAACTAGAAGTCCAGGTATGTATTACAATACAGTTTGAAAACTTTTCTATCTTAACCATATGTATGCATGTAATTTCTAATATATTCAGAAATCTCAAAATGAGAATTCCAATTGGTAATTTAAAATAAATCCTGAAGGCCAGGCATGGTGGCTCATGCCTATAATCCCAGAACTTTGGGATGCCAAGGCGAGTGGATTGCCTGAGCCTACAAGTTCAAGACCAGCCTAGGCAACATGGTGAGACCTCGTCTCTACAATAAATAAAAAAATTAGCTGAGCATGGTAGCGCGCACCTGTAGTTCTGACTACTTAGAAGGCTGAGGCGGAAGGATCGTCTGAGCCCAGCAGGTTGAGGCTGCAGTGGTCATGAGCGTGCCACTGCACTCGAGCCTGGGCAACAGAGTGAGACTCCAACTCAAAAAAAGGAAATAAAATAAGTCCTGAAAAATATCCCATACCCTCTCATAATTTTCTACCCTACTCAAAAAATAGAATGGTTATGGTAGAGGGATGTTTTATTATATCAATGGAACCATAGACTAAGTCTAGAAGTAACTGAAGGTAATATCTCTCTATCCTATTTTTTTCATGCTTTTAGACATAGTGCAATAGAAAATTATGATTCTGTAGGAATTCTCGAATCAGGTCATACAATAGAAATATATATGGAGTTTCAGGAGCCTCATCCTTGAAAATTCTAACTCAGTAGTTTTGGGAGCAGCAACTTCATTTCTCAAGGGAAAAAGATGGAATGACCTAAAGGTAGCTGTGGAAAAGCAAAGGAAGCCAGACCACAATACTCTTGCCAGAAGAGAGGGTTTTTTGTTTGTTTAGTTTGCCTTTAAGTTGCTATTGCACCGACCCAAAGAGCCCTCTGGATGATCCTCACTCAGAGAATAGGCCCTGACTTTGATGCCTTTGGTGCACACAGCTTCATGCTGCTTTTAGATCTTAAAAAGTTATATGTGTCTATCGTGCATAAATGAATAGAGAATTCTCCAAACTTTCTTATTGTTTCATTTGACTATGGTTGCAAAGATATACTGTCTATCATGAAAAAGTAAAGAAATATCCCAAAGTTGGTGTTCCTTCTAGCAGAGTAATTTCTTGAAAATGACAACAATATAGTAAAATTATGTATTTTTTCAAATTTCTTGACTCCTTAAAATAAAGCAAAAATACGCCTAAATTGTTCTAAAGTTGTTTTTATTTCCATATTTGGCATAATAGATAATCCTACTAAAAAGCCAGAAGTTAGAACTGGTAAAAGTTCACTTAAAAATAATAAAGGAGTCATAGTGTCTACAATAAATTTTAGCGCCAATATGACAGCTGCCAAAACTAAGGAGATGATTCTTAAGAAGTTAATAAGAAGAACTAAAGATACTCTTGGAGCACCAAAAAACAACAGGGTAAAATGTCTCTCATACCTATTAAATGTTCTTATGCTATTCAAGTGATAAATTGACTTATTTTAGTTAATACTAATCCAAAGAAAAATATACATATAACATACAGACTAGAGCATTCCTAGAAGATGCACTTTATAATGGAAACTTTGGTTATCAATTTAATGTAATTCAGTTTCCAACATGTTGAATTATACTGATTCAGAACTCCTGAGGCCAAAAGAGACTATTGAAATCTGAGCAAAGATAAGAAGACTGGAAAATGGGTTAAATGCCAGCTGCTTTGTTATTGTACATTTTATCACATTTTTATTCCTGTGACCATGGCTTGGGTCTCTAAAGAGTTTCAATTCAATTTCAAGAGCCTTTAAGGGTTTGCTTCATATTTCCTTGATTTCAACTGAGCTTCATGGGTCTTTGCCAACATGGGTAAGCTTTAGGGATTTGGGGGAAGGCTAATAATTGAGCAACCTAATCACACCAACAAAATGCAAGCAAAAGAAACCTTAATCGGTTTGTAATACAAAACAGAGGAAATTTTCAAAATTTTAAAATCATTTTTTAAAATGTCTTATTCTAAAAATGATATTGACAGTTACAAATTAAGTAATTAGGTATTTCAAAACAAATGACTATTTTAAACATATTTTTACAAAAATAAATACAATCTAAAGTAGCTAATACACACAGGTTACAATTAGTACACTTCAGCATGTAGTACATTCAAAGGTGGAAAGTAACACAGGTTTAAATATTGGAAATTTATCTGAATATTCTGCTTGTTGTTCACGACAACAACATTTGCAGCAGAATTTTAAAAGTTTAGCTCTAGATGAGACCCTTGTCCCCAAACGAGGGTGCATATGAAATAAATAGGTAAATAACAGCACCTTGACTCTCGTAGGCACTCAAAAAGTAAATGTTGAATGAATAATAACCACATTCCTGTGTAATAACCACACTTACATTACCTTTTCCAGCATAAAATTACATTTTTAATAATTATCAGACCATTATTACAGGTTTAGAGCAGGTGAGTAGAGTTTCTGCTATTTTGAAAACATTTTCTTTATATATACATATATTTTATTATAAAGATGTGGGGTACAATTCAGAGTTAGGTATACAAACGTTGATTATACAGGCACCCTTGTTGATGAGGCATGTTTCTCCCTCACCTGGCAGTTTCTGTCAACTGCCAATCCCAATTCCCCCAGACAGTTTCTTACTACTCGTAATCCCTTTCTTACAGTATTATAATTGTTAAGCTGATTTAACATTATTATTTTCTAAAATTAAATCTTCAAAGTATAATTTGATCTGCTGCATTTTAATAGAAAAAACAGACATGTTATTATATAAGGTTTTATTCTTACCCTACAGCATAATTAATATTATGAATTCATAATTTAAAGATAGCACTAATTAATATGTTTTAACACCATTTGTTTCTTAAGATTATAATATTTATTGATGATATGAATATGCCAGTACCAGATATGTATGGAGCACAGCCACCTCTGGAATTGATAAGACAATTGTTAGATTTGGGAGGGATTTATGATACGGAAAAAAAGGCATGGAAGGTACAGTATACACTAAGGTTTTGTTCACATTAAATATTGTTTCTTAAAATAAATGAAACATTTATAACAATGTTGAGTTAATTACACGAGATAGAAAGTCTAGCCATATGGCCATGTTAAGCAAAGTTTACCATACCAACTAGATCTTTGTACTATAGGTCCATGGGTTTATAGAAATTATACTTTTAGTAGGCTTAAATCTAGGAAAAAATGTAATTATGTCCTAAAGGTTTAGTTTCTGAGTAAAATAATGCTTACCATTATTTTATTTTATTTTATTTTATTTTATTTTATTTTATTTTATTTCGAATCAGGGGTACATGTGAAGATTTGTTATGTAGGTATATTGAATGAAGGCAAGGTTTGGGCTTCTGATGAGCCTGCCCCGTGCTACATGGTGAACATGGTACCCTGTGGATGGTTTTGCATCCCTTATTTCTCCTCCTTTCCTCCTCCCTAAAGCAGTGGCATATCTTTGTTACTTCAGGACAGGAAAATTTTTTTTTCATTTGTTGTCTTTTTTTCATTTTCTGTTTTGACTCAGGGAGTACATGTGCAGTTTTGTTACATAGAAGTATTGCATGATGGTGAGGTTTGAGCTTCTATTGAACCTGTTACCCAGGTGGTGGACATGGTACCCAGTAGGTAGTTTTCAGCCCTTTATCTACTTTCAACTCTTCCTCTAGAATTGTCCCAGTATTTGTTGTTCCCATCCTTGTGCCCGTGTGTGTACAGTGTTTAGTTCCAGCTTATTAGGGAAAACATACGGTATTCTGTTTTGTGATAATTTGCTCAGGATGATGATCTCTAGCCACATTCGTGTTGCTGTCAATGACATAATTTTGTTCTTTTTATGGCTGCATAGCATTTCATGATGTATATGTACCACATTTTCCTTATCCATTTCACCATTGGTGGACATTTAGGTTAGTTCCATGCTTTTTGTTATTCTGGATAGTGCTGCAATAAACATGAACATGCAGTTGTCTTTTTGGTAGAGTGATTTGTGCTCCTTTAGATATACACTCAATAGTTGGATTGCTGGGTCAAGCAGTAAGTCTATTTTTAATTCTTTGAGAAATCTCCAAACTGCTTTTCACAGGGGTTGAACTAACTTACATTCCCACCAACAGTATAGAAGTATTCCCTTTTCTCTGCATCTTTGCTGGTATCTGTTGCTGTTTTATTTTTTTATAAAAGCCATCTAGACTAGTATGAGATGGTATTTCATTGTGCTTTTTATTTGCATTTCTATGATGATTAGTTATTTTGAGCATTTTTTCATATGTTGGTATGTCTTCCTTTGAGAAGTTCATGTCATTTGCCCACTTTTTAATAGGGTTATTAGTTTTTTTCCTGTTGATTTGTTTGATTTCTTTGTAGATTCTGGAGGTTAGAATTTTGTTGAGTGCATAGTTTGCAAATATTTTCTCCCATTCTGTAGGTTGTCTGTTAACTTGGTTGATGGTTACTTTTGCTGTGCAGGAGTTCTTGAGTTTGGTTAGGTCCCACTTCTCAGTTTTGTCTTTTGCTCCTTTTGTTGTTGAGGCCTTGGTCATGGAATCATTGCCTACACTGATGATCAGATGTTTACTATGCTTTATTCTAGAATGTTAATAGCTTGTGGTCTTACATTTAAATCTTTAATCCATCTTGAGTTTATTTTTGTATATGGTGAGAGGGGAGGATCCAGTTTCATTCTTCCACATATGTTTAGTCAGTTTTTCCAACATCACTTACTAAATAGGGTGTCCATTCTCCAGAGCTTGTTTTATCAGCTTTGTCTAAGATAAGATGGTTGTATGCCAGTGGTTTTATTTCTGGATTCTCAATTCTGTTCCATTGGCCTATGTGTCTATTTTTGTACCAGTACCTTGCCATTTTGATTACTGTTGCATTGTAGTAAATTTTGAAATCTGGTGTAATATGATGCCTCCAGCTTTGTTCTTTTTTCTTTTTGCCTAGGATTGTTTTGGCTGGCTTTTTATTTTTTCTTCCATATGAGTTTAAGTATTGTTTTTTCTAGATTTGTGAAAAATGGTGCTGGTAATTTGATAGAGACTGTGCTGAGTCTGTAGACTACTTTAGGATGGTATGGACATCTTGATGATATTGATTCTTCCAATCCATGAGCCTGGAATTTTTTCCATTTGTTTGTGTCATCTTTGATTTTTTTCAGTATTGTTTTGTAGTTCTTGTAGTGGTCTTTCACCTCTTTGCTTAATTGTATTCCAAAGTAGTTTTTTTCCTATGTCTCCTGCAAATAAGATTGTGTTTCTGATTTGGTTCTCAACTTGAATCGTGTTGGCCCTATCAAATACATCCCCAATTTCTCTGTGTAAGACTACTCTATATTCTTATTTTCAAGGACTTTCAGAAATATTGCAAAGTCAAAAAATTCCAAGGAGGTATTTCTGCTCAATTATTTTTGTTACATTCAGTTATTTTTGTTATATGGAACTAAATCAGATTAGTATGTTTTTTAAGTAGAATTTTTGTGTCTATATATATATGTTAAAATTCAAGAGGTACATGTTCAGGTTTGTTACAGATATTGCAAGATGATGAGGTTTGGGCTTCTATTAAGCCAGTTATCCAAATGGTGTGCATAGTACCCAATGGGTGCTTTCTCAACCCTTGCTCCCCTTCCTCACTCCTCCCTTTAAGAGTTCCCAGTATCTGTTATTCCCACCTTTATGTCCCTGTGTACCCAATGTTTAGCTTTCACCATATAAGTAAGAAACATGCAGTATTCAGTTTTCTGTTTCTGTGTTCGTTCACTTGGAATAATGGCTCCCAGCTGCCTTACACATTGCTGCAAAGGACATGATTCCATTCTTCTTTGTGGCTACATTCTATTCCATGGTGGGTATATGCTAGTCCACCACTGAATGGGGAATTAGGTTGGTTTCATGGTTTTGCTATTGTGAATAGCACTGTGATAAACATACAAGTGCAGGTGTCTTTATGGTAGAATGACCTATGCTCTTTGGGGGTGAATACCCAGTAGTGGGATTGCTGTGTCAAATGGCACATCTATTTTCAGTTCTTTGAGAAATCTCCAAACTGCTTTCCACAGGAGATGAACTACCTTACATTCCCACCGACAGTATACGAGCATTCCAGTTTCTTCACACCCGCACCAATAGCTGCTGGGTTTTTTTGTTTGTTTGTTTTACTTTTTAATAATAGCCATTCTGACTGGTGTGAGATGATTTCTCATTGTGATTTTGATTTACATTTCTCTGATGATTAGTGATGTTGAGCACTTTTCATTTGTCTATTGGTTGCTTTTGTGTTTTTTGAGAAGTGTCTGTTCATGTTCTTTGCCCAGCTTTTAATGGGGTTGTTTTTTTTTCCTGTTGATTCATTTGAGTTCCTTTTAGATTCTGGATATTAATCCTTGGTCAGATGCATAATTTGCAAATATTTTCTCCCATTCTGTAGGTTGTCTGTTTACTCTATTGATAGTTTCTTTTGCTGTGCAGATGCTCTTTTGTTTAATTAAGTCTTTTTGTCAATTTTGGTTTTTCTGCATTTGCTTTTGAGGACGGGGTCATAAATTTGTTGCCTTTGCCAATGTACAGAAGAATGTTTCCTAGGCTTTCTTCTAGGATTTAATAGTTTCAGGTTTTACATTTAAATCTTTGATCCATCTTGAGTTAATTGTTTTATCTGGTGAGAGGAAGAGGTCCAGCTTCATTCTTCTGTATATGGTTAGTCACTCTTCCCAGCATCATTTGTTGAATAGGATGCCTTTTCCCCAATGTTTATTTTTATCAGTTTTGCCAAAGAACAGTTAGTTACAGGTCAGTGGTTTTATTTCTGGGGTCTCTATTCTGTTCCATTCGTCTATGTATCTATTTTTGTACCAGTATCATGATGTTTTGGTTACTGTAGCATTGGAATAAAGTTTGAAATTTGGTAATGTCATGCCTCTGGTTTTGTTCTTTTTGCTTAGGATTGCATTGGCTGTGGACTTTTTTGTTTTGTTTTGTTTGCTTCCCAATGAATTTAAGTATAGTTTTTTTAAAGATCTATGAAAAATGATACTGATAGTTTAATAGGGATTGTGTTGAATCTAGATTGCTTCAAGCAGTATGGACATTTTAATAATATTGATTCTTCCAATCCATGAGCATGGTATGCTTTTCCCTTTGTTTGTGTCCTCTTGATTTTTTTTTAATCAGTGTTGTATGCTCCTCATTTTACAGATCTTTTACCTTCTTTGTTGGGTATATCCCCAGATATTTTATTATTTGTTATGGTTATTGTAAATGTGATTATATCCTTAATTTGGTTACTGACTTGAATGTTGTTGGTGCATAGAAATGTTCCTGATCAAAAAAAAAATGGGAACAAACCTCTTATCAACAGGGTGCCTGAATGAAACGTAATTGTACACCTAACCCTTAACTATACCCCACAAAACCATAATAAAAAAATATTGATTAAAAAAAAAAGAAATGTTCCTGATCTTTAAGTGCTGATTTTGTAACTTGAGACTTTACTGAAGTTTCTTATCAGCTCGAGGAGTCTTTTGGTGGATTCTTTAGGGTTTTTTAGATATAGAATCATATCAGATGCAAAGAAAAATGATTTAACTTCCACTTTTCCTATTTGTATACCTTTTATTTCTTTCTCTTCCTGATTGCTCCAGCTATGTTAAATAGGAGTGGTGAGAGTCGATATCCTTGAATTGTTCCAGTTCTTAGAGGGACACTCACAGTTAGCATCATACTGAATAGATAAAAGTTGGAAGGCTTATGTTTCTTTTGTGTGTTTTTTTTTAAATGTATATTCAATTGCACTTTTCTCCTTGTTTGGTTCCTTCTCTGAAATCACAAGCCCTATGTTTCAGATCTGACTCTACCACTTAAACTTTCAGGGCCTCAGATTCCTCATCTGTAAAATTAGATAGTTGTATTATAAACACTTTCATGTCTTAGACAGACTTGGGCCCAAGATCCTGAATGAGGCACACAGGTTTGTGAGTGCCATCAGATAAGACATCAGTGAGACTGTCTGAACCAAACCTCAATCTAAGGCAGAGAGGAAGAATCTAGATGCAGTTCACCAGGGAGAATCCAGAAGACTAGGGAAAAAAGAGAAGAGGAAGAAGGGGGAGGAGGAGAAGAAGGAGGAGGAGGAAGGAAGGAAATAATAGGTTCTGAAATGCACAGTCTGGAAAAGTTCCCTGAATTGTCCAGAAAATAGTCAGAGCAGGTCTTTCATGAGATTTCTGTGGCTTTGGGCATGGGCATAAATAGGGGAAAAGCTGTTAAAAGCACTCTGTCATGAGTAGACTGTATTGTCTGTATGGGTCCACCCAACTGTGCAATGCTGTGATATTGTAATATGTCAAATGATTGTTACTAAGTTAACATCTTTTTTAAAAATTTTGTTTATTTTAAAGATGTAAGGCACAATTCAGGGTTAGGAATACAAATGTTCATTATGCAGGTACCCTTGTTGATGAGGTTGACCCCCCCCCCCGCACCCCTGGCAGTTTCCCACTACTGTCAATTCCTTTCTTATAGTATTATGATAATTGAACATCTTTTTACCCCACCACAATCCTGTGTTCTAGAGCCACACTCAAAAGCCTCTTCTGATTTCTCACTTATAAGCAGAGGTCTTTGTTGGCTTCGATAACATATTGCTTATTTTCTATTGATTGATTTTTTTAATGGACTATTTTATTATTATTATTAGAAACCCTCCTAGAAGTAACATGTCTTGAAATTATATTTTAGGATGAGTTACTTTCAAGAAAATAGATTTCTATTACCATCATAATTTTTGTCTTGCAGCAAATAGTAATCTTAATCTTTTTGCCTAAATGTTTTTAAATCTTTTGTCTATTTGGAGCAGAGAAGTAAGAATATATTTAGTTACTCTTCCTTTATGGTTTTTCCACAGAATATTGAAGATCTCGCTATACTTACAGCTTGTGTTCCAGTTGGTGGGAATGATATTAGCCCACGTCTTCTCAAACATTTTTCTATGCTGGTCTTGCCTCATCCTTCACAAAGTGCCTTACGTACTATTTTTCGGGTAATACATCTAGTTAATTTTCTACAGAAAAACAAAATTAGTTCCTTGAAATAAGAAAAAATTTGAGAACTTGAATCTACTGATATTAAAAAAAAAAACAACTCTTTAAAGGGGATGGATTTTATTTCCCCCTGTATATTCTGGCCTATTGTTATAATTTGTCCCTAAATACCAAAGGCATAATTTAGTGTGCATTTTAAAAAATACAATGTATGCATGCTTGATGTATGTTAAAATGCAGATCCCAGGACATTATTTTTAGAAATTCTGATCGAGTCTCAAGAATCTGGCATTTTTAACAAATACACCTTGATTTTTGCTAGAATTAATTTGCTCTTTTCTTTTTCTTATAGAATAAAAAACACTGCCTAAACCATTACCTCAGTCTGAACTGGCAAACGTTTATACTTTCTTCTAAACGGGATATTTTTTTCAAGTGGGGACTCTTGATCATATATGTGAGAATTATCAAGTGCTTTTTGAAAAATTCCTTTTCAAAATTTAAATTTTGTATTGTAGAGAAGAAAACACATAATTTGTTTTGAAGAATTTAGTAATCTTGCATAGGATTTGTTTTTCCTATCACATTAGATTCCAAATTCATTTTTCCAGTAAGATATTTCAGAAATTTTCTTAGAAAGTATTTTTGTGTACCAGTTCAGACTGAAGTAATAATTCTATCACTTTACACTTCTTCTTGTAACATCTAATAGGAAGCAATGAGATGGACGAATTCCCAGCACACCTGGTATATATAGAGATGGAGCATAAATTGTCCCCGGAGAACCCATACCACATGCCTCTAGACCATTCACCAAACTGGGACTAACTGGAATTTTCTCCAGTTTGCAACACCCGGAGTATTTTTTTACTAGTTCACCATCTTGTTTCAAATTTCAATATTTACAATGAAATTAATCTTCTATTATAGTACTTAAGTTTGCTTTTAGTGGAGATTAGCCACTATACTTGAAATTTTCTATACTTGAAATTTTTGGCAAACTCAATTATAACATTTATTTTCAAAGGTTCATTTGGGAATGTATTTCTCCATCAATAACTTCACAGCTGATGTTCAGAAAAGTAAAGATCAGATAATATCTTGCTCTCTAGCTATATACCATCAAGTACGTCAGAGTATGTTACCAACTCCAACAAAATGTCACTACATGTTTAATCTTCGAGATATGTTTAAGGTTTGTTTTAAAATTCATTCACTATTTTCTTTTTAAAATGTAAGCTAAGGAGATATAATTTGACTGAACTAAGTCAGTCTCTCTCTTTTTCTCTCTTTGTCTTATACTGTCAACATTAAATTTTTTAAAAAGGAAAAATAATGAAATGTATGTTGGTTATTTTGCTATTTGTTAGCGGCTCATCCCATGAATTAGTTGAAAAGAATTGCTAAAATAATTCCATGCAGAGAACTCAATGATGGAACCACTAAGACTATTAGAATATTGGCTAAGAAAGAAGTGACAAAGTTATGACATAGAATTTGTTTTTGTGTTATTTCTGAGATTTTGTTTTGGCTGTCAGAAAAATAAAAGCATAAACATGCTTGAATTTTCACAGATTTTGCCAACAGTGCTAATTTAGTTATCAGCCTTGACCAAATAATTTTCAAAATTAAAATGCTAAGAAAAACAATTATCGAATTTGGTCTCATTCTCCCCTTGCTGTGAGACTTTAGCCCTAAATAGCATGTATAATCTTTGAAATGGATTATAAGATTTTTAATCCAAATTTAGAATGCTAAAACATTAAGTACTTCTATCTAGAAATGACAAAGGTGACATTACAACTGATACCACCGAAATGTAAAACATCCTCAGAGATGTCAATGAACATCTCTATGTGCACAAACTAGAAAACTTAGAGGAAATGAATAAATCCTGGAAACAACCTCCCCAGATTGAAGCGTGAAGAAATTAAAATCCTGAACAGACCAATAAGAAGTAAAAAATTGAATCAGTAATAAAAAAAAAAAAAAATCTACCAACCAAAAAAAGCCCTGGACCAGCTGGATTCACAACTAGAGTCTACCAGACATACAAAGAAGAGTTGGTATCAATCTTACTGAAACTATTCCAAATAATCGAGGAGGAGAGATTCCTTCCTAACTCATTCTATGAAACCAGTATCATCCTGGCCAAAATATACCAAAGACAAGAAAAAAAAGAAAAAGAAAAACTACAGGCCAATATCCCTGATGAAGACAAACACAAAAATCCTCAACAAAATACTAGCAAGCTGAATCCAGCAATACACCAAAAAGATAATTCATCACAATTAAGTGGGCTTTATTCCTGGGATCCAAACATGGTTAACATTCGATGCTCATGGATTGAGAGAATCCATATCATTAACAGCAATAGACATACTTAACATAATTCCTATCAAATTGCCGAAGTCCTTTTGCACAGAATGAGAAAAAATTATAAAATGCATATGAAACCAATAAAGAGTCCATATAACTAAAGCAATCCTAAGCAAAAAGAACAAAGCAAGAGGCATCACATAAACAGATTTCAAACTAAACTACAAGACTATAATAACCATACCAGCATGGTACTGATACAAAAATAGACATATAGATCAAAGGAACAGAATAGGAAATTCAGGAATAAAGCCACACACCTACAACCAATTGATCTTAGACAAAGTTAACAAAAATAAACAATGAAGAAAGAACACACATTCAATAAATGGTGCTGGGGAAACTGGCTAGCCATAGGCAGAAGAATGAAACTACCTCTCACCATATATAAAAATTAACCCGGTCGAGCTGGGTGGCTCAGCCTGTAATCCCATGCTTTGGGAGGCCGAGGTGAGTGAATTGCCTGAACCGGTGAGTTCAAGACCCGCCTGGGCAACTTGGCAAGAAGTTCTCTTGTCAATAAATCAAAAATCAAAAAAATAAATCAAAAAAATTAGCCAGGCGTGGTAGCGCACACCTGCAGTTCCAGCTACTTGGAAGGCTGAGGTGGAAGGATCGCCAGAATCCAGCAGGTTGAGGCTGCGGTGGCCAGGAGTGTGCCACTGCACTCCAATCTGGGCAGCAGAGTGAGACTCCAACTCAAAAATAAAATAAAATAAAATAAAAATTAACTAAAGATGGATTAAAGACTTAAATGTAAGAGCTCAAACTATTAAAATCCTTGGCTTAGCCAATGAATTTATGGCCAATACATTAAAAGCAAAAATTGTCAATTGGAATTTAATTAAACAAAAATAATCAACAGAGTAAACAATCTAAAAAATGGGAGGAAATGTTTGCAAATTATGCATCCAACAAAGGACTAATATCCAGAATCTATAGGGATCTTAAATCAACAAGAAAACAAATATCCCCATTAAAAAGTAGGTAAAAGACATGAACAGACACTTCTCAAAAGAAAACAGACAAGCAGCCGGGCTCGGTGACTCAGACTGTAATCCTGCGCCTTTGGGAGGCTAAGGTGAGTGGATTGCCTGAGCCCACGGGTTCGAGACCCGCCTGGGCTATTTGGCAAGACCTCATCTCTACAATAAATCAAAAAATTAGCCGGGCGTGATAGCGCGCACCTGTGGTTCCAGTTACTTGGAAGGCTGAAGCGGAAGGATCGCCAGAGCCCAGCAGGTTGAGGCTGCAGTGGCCAGGAGCGGCCACTGCACTCGAGTCCAGGCAACAGAGTGAGACTCCAACTCAAAAAAAAAAAAAAATAGAAAGAAAAAAGAAAACAGACAAGCAACTAATAAATATATGAAAAATACTCAGCATCACTAATCATCAGAGAAATGCAAATTAAAACCACAATAAGATGCCATCTCACACCTGTCCGGATGGCTATTATTAAAAAGTAAAAAATAACAGACATTGAAGAGGATATGGAGAAAAGGAAACACTTATACACTGTTGGTGGAAATATAAATTAGTTCAACCCATGGAAAACAGTATGGAGAGTTCTCAAAGAACTAAAAATAGATACCATTCAACCCACAATTCCACTACAAGGCATCTACCCAAAGGAAAAGAAATCATTCAATCAAAAAGACACCTGAGCTCATATATTTATTGCAGCACTGTTCACAGATAGCAAAGTCATGGACTCATATAATATAAATGCCCATCAACAGTGGATTGCATAAAGAAAATGTGGTGTATATATACACCATAGAATATGAGGCAGCCGTAAAAAGGAATGAAATCACATCCTTTGCAACAACATGGATGCAACTAGAGGCCATTATCCTAAGTGAGTTAACAAAGAAACAGAAACTCAAATACCACATGTTCTCACTTAGAAGTGGAAGCTGAACAGTGGGTACACATCTACATAAAGACAGAAACAGTAGTCACTAGGAACTCCTAAAGGTGAGGAATTAGGGTTGAAAAATTACCTACTGGACATTATGTCCGCTATTTGCTTGATGAATTTAGTAGAAACCTAAACCTAAGCATCACACAATATCCTCATGCAACAAACCCTGAATCAAAAATTCAAAAAATAACGAAAAGGTATCTCTATGTCACCTCCAACACCCTTCCTCCATTTTAGCACCACAGTCAAGACTTCCATCCTAGCAAGGCCCTCACTAGATATGGCTGGGGAACCCCTAAAGCCCCCTCCCTCTAAGGGTGATTCTGTGCCAATTTTCCTTGCTTGTTTCATCAAAAATTATCACTTTTAAAATTGACAACGCGTATCTTGACCATTGCTTCTGTTTTTATGGAAATAAACCTTCAAAAATTGAACCTCTACTTCACATACTATCCTGCTAATGTTTTTTTTAAATGTTATTTTAAAATCCCTAATAGCTTCTGCTAGGATTGTTGCAAGCTGACAAGAACGTTATTTACTCCAAAGAGATGACTGCTTTGCTCTTTGTTCATGAAGCTACCCGAGTGTTTCACGATCGCTTAACTGATCCCACTGAAAAAAGCTTTTTCTATCAGTTGCTTTCAAAGGAACTTCAGAACTATTTTCAGGTAAACTTATATTTTAAAAATTATCTTAAATGAATTATTGGCAAAAGTCTTGTTTTATGAAAGTCCTCAAACATTTCTATAATTCGGAAAGAAACTGTATGTTATGAATTCCATTTTTCACATAAAAATATCTAAAAGTATAGATATGATACAGATAAGATCTTGATGCCTATATTCATACTTCTGGCCTTTCAGAATCCTCAAAACTGCTCATTTTTCTCCAGGACTAGCAGAACTGCCCACTCTCTTGATACCCCGTCAAGACTCCTCATCCCTCTCTATCCCTTTGAATTTTAGTTTTCTCACTTTCTATCTCTTAATTCAGGTCACATAGGAAAGTGTTTCAATAAATGATTCACACTAAGAGAATGTGACTAAGTGGAGCAGTAATTTCAGATTTATTACTAGACTTTTTTGCTATATCCTTTCAAGATAACTAAGGAGACCATTTCCTTTCCAAGAGTGACTCTTTTCTTGTTCTGTCTTCTTTGGTATTGTCAATTTCTCTCATCTTATTAATGGCAATTCAAGAAATATAATAAATTCAAGGAAACAACTATATTTTATAACAATAAAAGAGAATTTTAGAATACAAATTTTATATACAAGGATAAAGATAGTTACACATCCATGCATATAAACTCAGAATATAACATACATATTTAGTCATGCATCACTTTTCGATGGGGATATGTTATGAGAAATATGTCATTTGGCAATTTCACCTTTGTGTAAACATCATAGAGTAAACTTACTTACACAAACCTAGATGGTATACCCTACTACTCACCTAAGCTATATGGTATATCCTATTGCCCCTAGACTACAAGCCTGTACAGCATGTTACTGTATTGAACACTGTAGACAGTCATAACACAGTGGTATTTGTGTATCTGAGTATCTGTAGACTGATGTGGTGGCTCATGCCTGTAATCCCAGCACTTTGGGAGGTCGAGGCAAGAGGCAAGAGGATTGCCTGAGCCCAGGGGTTCGAGACCAGCCTGGACAACTTGTGAGACCTCGTCTCTACCATAATTTTAAAAATTAACTGCTCATGGTGGCACACACATGTGGTTCCAGCTACTTAGAAGGCTGAGGTAGAAGAATCACCCAGCAGGTTGAGGCTGTGGTGACCATGAGTGTGTTATTATTGCACTCTAGCCTGGGTGACAGAGTGAGGCTCCAAATTTTTTTTAAAAGTATTTATGTATCTAAACATAGAAAAAGAATGGTTAAAATATGGTATAAAAGATTTAAAATGGTACACCTGTAAAGGTCATTTACCATGAATGATGCTAGCTGAACTGGAAGTTTCTCTGGATGAGTCAGTGAGTGGTGAATAAATGTGAAGGCCTAGGATGTTACTGTATACCACTATGGACTTTATAAACACTGTAAACTATGTACACTAAATTTATTTAAAATTTTCTTTAATAATAAATTAAACCTAGCTTACCGTAACTTTCTTACTTATAAACTTTAATTTTTAAAAAACTTTTTGATGTCTTTGTAATAACACCTAGCTTCAAACACAAACACATTGTACAGCTGACCAAAAGTAGTTTCTTTATATCCTTATTCTATAAGTGTTTTTCTGTCTTAAAATGTATATCTTACTTTTTGAACTTTTTTGTTAAAAACAAAGATGCCATCTCAGCTTTCCAAGTAGCTGGAACTACAGGCTCACAAAAAAAAAAAAATGAAGATGCACACACACATTAACCTAGACCTACACAAGGTCAGAATCATCAATACCACTGTCTTATACCTCTACATTTTGTCCCACTGGAAGATTTTCAGGAAGAGTAACATGCATGGAGCTGTCATCTCCTATGATAACAATGTCTTCTTCTGGAATACCCTCTGAAGGACCTGCCTTAGGCTGTTTTACAGTTTACTATATATATATTTTTTATTTTCATGAACGTTATACTATATTTATATATATAAAAAGTATATATGAGTGTACTCCTATATGTTTAAAATGATAAAAAGTATAGTATAGTAAATATATAATAATATATAATAATAAATAGTCATCTGTTATTATTATCAAGTATTATGTACTATACCTAATTGTATGTGCTATACTTTTATATGACTAGCAGCACAATAGGTTTATTTACACCAGCACTATCACAAACATGTGAGCAATGTATTGGCTACAACATTATGAAAGCTAGATGTCACTAGATGATAGGAATGTTTCAGCTTCATTATAAACTTACAAGACCACTATTGTATATGCATTCTGTCATTGACAGAAATGTTGCGGCACATGACTGTATATAAATTTATGTCTGTAATACATGCATGTGTTCTTAAGATAAGTCACAAATTCAGAAAACTTTTAAAAATTCTTTCTGGGAGCCAGGCATAGTGATACACACCTATAGCCCCACCCAGCTACTCAGGAGGTTGAAGCAGGAGGCTCCTCTGAGCTCTGGAATTCAAGACCAGTCTGGGCAAAATAGTGAAAGACAAACTCTTTTTAAAAAACTTTTTTTTTCTTGGACACTCCCATCATGACTTTATTTTAATCTATGTTTTCTGCTCTTCAGTTCAGACCCTTCTTGATATAATTATTCTTGTTAAGACATATTGCTTCTACCCTCAAATTATTTTTAACATCCAACAGGATACTCACCATTAAGGATCCAAACCCACTTTCCATCTCCATCTCCACTACCAACTTCATTCAACTGTCTAGAATATTCCAGGTCTCTACCCATTGTGTATCTCTTCTTCCTTTGCCTCCCTGGGACTATTCTTTGATGATGTCTCAGAGTCATCTTTCCCTGGTTTCCTCTGCTCAGACACTAGGATCTCCAGCCCATTCTTCTATTGTTCTCACTCTTCTTTCCTAAGAAAGCCTGTGACATTGTTGAATATAGAGATTACAAACACAGGCTTTGCCTGAGTTGAAATCCCTGCTCCTCCATTTATGAACTGTGTATCCTTGGGCAAGTGACTTCTCTATGTCTCATTTTCATCATCTCTAAAGTAAGGATAGTAATTGCACCTACCTCATGGATCTGTGGGTAAGAATTATAGTACTAATTTGTATACAGTGTTAAAATAGTTTCTGACAAATAGTAAGTGCTCAATGTGTAAGTTATCATAATACTGAAAAACACTGGATCTTATATCTGTATTTCAAATACAGGCAGGTGCTTTGGTGGAAAGAGCCTGAACTTTGGAGCTGGACCTTGGTTTGACTTGTAAATCTATTTTGTGTTACTCTGGGCACTTCATACTCACCAATAGTATAAAACCATTCTCAATCTTCATTCCTTGTACCCTCTGCACCACCAAAATGTGCTGCCCTAGTATCTTTTACTTCAGTGATTGGCATCACTATATCCAAGCCTCCATTCATGCCAGAAATCTGAGCATCTCACCCTTATATTTTAGCCAGAATGCAGCATGGTCTCTATGGGTAGATGATGGTCAAAGGGTACAAAGCTTCAGACAAGAGGAATAATATTTTTTAAGATCTATTGCACAGTGTAGGGAATATAGTTTAAAAATAGTGTGTTGTACATTTTAAAATCACTAAGAGAGTAAATTTCAAATGTTTTCATCAGAAAAATGATAATATTTGTGGTGATATATATGTTAATTAACTTGATTTAGTTGACTTATATTGTATCCATAAATCCCAATATCACTTTGTACTCCATAAATATATACAATGATAATTTGTCAATCTATACTAAAAATAAATTTTAAAAAAATATTTAGCTCATGCTTCCTACCTCTTGGTGGCCTTTTCTGGCCAACTTCATCTCCTTTCCAGATTGTGTGACCTTTCTTTGTATTTTAATAGGACTATGGACTTTTTCTATCACAGAATTGGTTGTAACATAATTGTCTAGCTCCCTCTGCAACCTATGAGTTCCATCAGAATGATGCCATTGATTTTTCTCTCTTTCTAAATTCCCAGATTTTAGCATTCTCCCATCCCTAATTGGTGCTTGATAAATATATCTGGGATGGATGAATGAACAAGAAATGAATGAAGGAATGAAGAGACTTTGCTAAAATAATCATTTAAAGAAAGCTTATTACTGTCTTAAGAGAAGTTTCTAAACTCCCTGCAAATACCGCCACAATTCACTTTTGAAACTTTACCAGACCAAGGAATAGGTGTAGAGGCAGTAGAATATGAGCAAGCAAATATTTATGGGTATCAGGTCTTGCCCTAGCAGGAGTCAGCCCTATGGACAAGAACAGCTATGATACCCCAAGTTGAAGACCATATTAATCAAACCTACCTGAGGGATATAAGAATATAAATTATTCCTGTGAAAATGGGGGTGGATATAATATCACTTAATTGGTTGGTCGACTTAAAAAAATAAAATAAAACTCTAATAATAATTAATACCATGTGCTATGCACTGTTTTAAGAGCTTCACCTTGTCATTAATCACTTTAATTTATAAAACCCTATGATGGACATCTTGTTATTATCCTCATTTTACACATGAAGATACTGGGCAGAGTAAGGCTAATAACTTGCCCAAGATCACACAGCTAGTTAAGTGGTAGAGTCATTCTTCAAACCCACAATATCTGTTGACAAATATTCTCTTAATTATCATGCCATACTGCCCCTCAACCTTCATTTAGCCATTTGTCCAAAAACAAAAAAAACTTCTGAATGTCTATCAGGAATTTCCAGTACCAGATACCAACTAGGTAAGTGCTAAGAACTACATAGAAGTATCATGGGCCCTGCCTCCAAGCACTTCACAACCTAACACATATAATACATTTCTGTAAGTGCTATGACAGACCTATGCACACAATACAGTGATGAAACAGAGGAAGAAAGAGTAATTTGTTCTATGTGGTTTTAGAGGGGAGGGAAATGGTCAGACTTCAAAGAATAGGTATCCCATGACCTTGGTGTGAAAGATAAACAAGAGTTTGCAAAGTAGGCCAGGAAAGCAAGGAAACTTACAGAACTGTAGTGGTAATTAACAATTGACTAA